AGAAAGGCTGGAGAGTTGGGCAGAGAGGAACCTCATGAAGTTCAATAAGGACAAGTGCAGGGTCCTGCACCTGGGGAGGAAGAACCACAGGCACCAGTACAGATTAGAGCTCGATCTGCTGGAAAGCAGCTCCACAGAGAGAGACCTGGGAGTCCTGGTTGACACTAAGTTAACCATGAGTGAGCAGTGTGCCCTCGTGGCCAAGAAGGCCAATGGGATCCTGGCCTGCATCAGGAGGAGTGTTGCCAGCAGGTCAAGGGAGGTGATTCTGTCCCTCTGCTCTGCTCTGGTGAGGCCGCACCTGGAGTACTGTGTGCAGTTCTGGGCACCCCAGTATAGGAGGGACGTGTAGCTTCTGGAGAGGGTCCAGAGAAGGGCAACCAGGATGGTTAAGGGAATGGAACATCTCTCGTATGAGGAGAGACTGAGTGAGCTGGGCCTGTTTCCTCTGGAGAAGAGAAGGCTCAGAGGGGATATGATTGACATGTATAAGTTCAGGAAGGGAGAATGCAGGGAGGAAGGGGACAGGCTGTTTTCACTGGTGGCCAGCGATAGGACAAGGGGTAATGGCCATAAGCTGGAGCACAGGAAGTTCTGTCTCCAGGTGAGGAGGAACTTCTTCACTGTGAGGGTGACAGAGCMSTGGAACAGGCTGCCCAGGGAGGTTGTGGAGTCTCCTTCTCTGGAGGTCTTCAAAACCCGCCTGGATGCCACCTTTTGCCTCGCGTTCTTGGTGTCCCTGCTTGAGCAGGAAGGTTGGACCTCTAGAGGTCCTTTCCAACCTTAAACATTCTGTGATTCTGTGAAAAAATGCTGCTAGGAWTTTGTTATAAGCATCTTTAAGTCTGTAACACAATACCTTAACTGTTACAGTGAAATTAACTTCCATGAAACAATAAATATTTATATGGTACATACATACCTCTAAAACCTTAAAGTCTTTGTTATACAGAGATAATTCTGGCCATCTGAGAAATCAAAATGTCGCAATCTATTGTTTTCCCTTCCTGTGAAATCTCATTAGTTTATTTAGCTAGTGGGCATTTTCCTATAGAAGTATAGGAAAGATAACCTACTTCATAGAGATAACAATATTGCATATAGATAAAAAGAGGCAAGAGAGTTAGACAAAAAGATACAGAGCTTTTTTTCACCTTAATTAAGCAGGTATTTCAAAATGTTAGCACACACACACACAGGTTTCTTCAGAGAGATTCATATCTGTGTCTCTTGAAATGGATCCTATTATGCTTATTTTAACTGTAACTTCAGTAATTATATAATTACCCTCACAACCCAATATGTAAATTAGCTCCAAAAGCACTATGCTAAAGCAACATGACAACTGATACTTTAACTGTAAAAGAATCACTGATTTCTTTATCTGGCCTATAGAATACTCTTAGAGTATTCCATCACTCTTAATTTATTGCATTCATTTCTGTGTGTGCATCAAAGAGCAGCCACAAGCACCAGAAACATCTTCGTATTGCAGTCCAGGCACCAGAGAGCAGAAGAAACAAAAGGGTGTAAAGGCACTTATATAATTTGGTGAATATAAAAGCAAGATTTTTTTTTCCTATTTACAGGTTTATATAAAAGGAAATAAGGAGTCATTTATGGACTTCTCCTGAGAAGGTGTTCTCCACATCAAATCACAACATCTGATCACTGCCTGATAACTGCACCTCATACATCAAATTCAGGCCATGTGCATGGTGGACAACAATTCCCAAGCACAGTGCTTAGGTGTGCCCTCAGTGTGAGCATTTGAGGACAGTGAGTGGAATTTGGCTTAAGAAATACATCTAAAAATTGAAAAAATGGATTTTTTTTTTGTCTTTGCATGAGGTGATGAGCTTTACATAAGCAACGAAACTACATATCTGAGAATTAATAATGAGGAAGAAGGGCATGACTAATAGCATAGGTGACTATGCAGAGGCTAGGCAAGTGATAAGTGGAGATGATGAGCTATTATGCAAAACATATGTTGTCCTCAAAACACCCACTTCATCAGCTTTATTTACTTCTTACATCATACCCTTAGATTATTCATTCTTAGAGACTGTTTTGGTTAGCTTTTATTTTTGTTGCTTGCTTACTACCTATTAAAACACCCATATCAACCACGTGTTTATAATCCACAAGTTCAATGTATCGTAAATAAYTGGTATTTCAGAATGAACATCAATCAAAACAGTATATTAAAATATCAACATGGAAAACAAACCAATAACTAACTACCCTGTCCTGAATTAATCTCATTATTAATAGTAAGGATAATTAAGCCAATGTGGATTGCAAATGCAACACAGGTTCCTGTTTGAATGAAATGCATACTAGGATGCTTTGAGTCTTCATGGTGTGAAGGAGCCTTTAATACAGTGTCTTCCTAGGGGAAGCTTCCTAGGGGAAGCTGCCACAAAAGTTCAGGCTGATTARCCATTTTATGGTCTTAGTTAAGAAATTAAAGATTCATGAGCACTTGCTTCTTAAAGAGAAGAAGAGATACATCAAATCACACATGTAACTATGGTTGTACTTCTCCTGTGAGGACAACAACCACCAATGTTCTCAGCTATTAAAAAAGAGAAAAATTAAAGAAGCGCAAATAATTTACACCCCAGTCCCTGATAAAGAGAATATTGTTATATCATACYGCTGGCAACCACCCAGACCCTTTCCTTCTACTTTCCAGCACCTACCCTTATCACAACTAGCAATCAGATTATAAACTGTGGAGCAGAAGCCTAGCCCTCATCTTCTCACGTGCAGGAAAGTGGCACCACCCTTGGGATTTAAATCTATTTGCTGTGACTGGAATGATGGTCTTTGTTCTCAAATTGTTACTACATCAGTACTTGCTTTTTTTACCATTACTGAGCACAAAGCACTGAGATTTCCTAGAACATCTACCACAATTCCAAGGTCTCTTTCAAGAGCTGCAATAATGGGCCAAGGGCCTAATATTCTGTCATTCTGTCTAAACATTTAGGCTCTCTTATCTCATAAATCATARAATCATAGAATGCTTAAGGTTGGAAGGGATCTCAGAGGTCATCTAGTCCAACTCCCCTGCACACTCAGGGTCACCTAGAGCACCTAGGTTGCTCTTTCAGTTGTCTCTAATTCCTTTGACTTTCTTCTGGTAAGAGTGCTTTGAAGTCTTGTCCCTCAAGAGGTGTCTATACCTACTTATTGATGCTAAAATGCCAGGACATCAGTGCTCCATTTTCCAAAGTTTTGCTGGAAGTTCTGCCTGTAGTAGTTTCTGTGAGGGCTTTTACACTGGTAGCAGCACCACTGAGTCTGGTATCTCAGTGGTGGTGTTACCTGCTGCGAGCCATCGCCAATCTGTATCTCTTAGTCCTTTGTGACCTGATAAAAGGGATTTCTGCACCCACTTTTTCCTCATATATCAACATAAATTAATCCTTTTACTGCTGTGCCATGTGAGTTTTGAGCTCCTTTGGTACTGCACTATTTGTACTAGCCTGAATAGTTCATCATCAATATTGTTTTGCTACACCACCATCCATCTACCTTTCCAGTGCATTTCTGAGTATGTTGAGCAGCACTTGACCATTGCACAAATTCCTGCACAACCTAGTAGGTTTGGCCATGTCATTGTAGTATATTACTTGTAGTATCATTGTCTATATTGTCTATACAATACAGTGTCTATACATACTAGCATTGTAGTATTAATTGTATTGTAATCATTGTATTGTATTCATCATTGCCTGATGAAAACTGTTAAATGTCAAAAGCCTTTTGGCATCAACCAGGCTTTCCTTGTCCGCACGGTCATCTAGGTCCTCCAAAAGATTTTTCAGGCTCGACATCCCATCATAAAGGTGTTGACTTTTCTCCAATGTATCGTGTTTTTGCACATTCCACTTGTTCCAGTCTTCATCCTCCTTTCCACCTATTTGCTCAACACATGCATCAAACCTACTGGTTTCAGTTCTGCAGATTCCTCAAGGAACCATATAAAATTCTGTTCAATTTCTCAGTCCTCCAGCACCAAATGTGTCTTAAGCAACGGTTATACAGCATAGCTAGCAGTTTACTCACTTCCTAACTCTACACTTCCTAACTCACTTCCTCTACAACTCTTGGATAAATGCCATCTGATATTGCCGTGCATTATTTTCTAGCACAGCTTCTGATTTGAGAGAGCTCTTCCAACATGTTTCTCAGGAACAGTGGTATTGTGGCATGACCATGGGCCACTCGGAACTCATCCTTGACAAATACGGGTGTAGAAACCTCATCCATGTTATGTCCTTATTCACTAGACCTCCAGTCACACCTGGGCATTTCCTAGCCATGGATCCTCCGGCCAACCTTGATGTGTTCCGGCAAGGATTTATCATCACTTATGCCCTTYGCGAGCTCATCCACAAAACCGTTTCCTTTGGGGGAGATGTTGTCCGTGTGCGCTCCAATGGTCCCCGCTCGGGCTCCCCTTCCTCCCTCACCTCTCCCCCACGCCAGCTCAGCCCCTTCCGAACCCCATTTCCCCCCTCCAGCCGGGAACCCCAGGGGCACCCCCTGTCCCCCCAAAGCCGGGGACACCCCCGAGGACCCTCGGGGGACACGTGCGGGCGGCTGCGGACGGCCGCCCCGGGACCGCCCCGCGCATGGCCGGGGCGGAAGCGGCGGCGGCGGCGCCCGCCCTCCTCCTCCTCCTCCTCCTCCTCCTCCTGCTCCGCCTTCTCCCGCTGCTCCTCGTTGCGCCGCGGCCTCGCCGCCGCTTCCGCCCGGCTGCGGCGGGCGTTGCGGCCGTTGCGCCTTGCTGCCGTTCCTCGGTGCTGGCTGTCGCGCGGGCGGGAGGTACGTGGCCACGCGGGGTGTCCCCCGGGCTGCGGGCGGGCCGGGGGGCAGCCGCGGGACGTCGTGGGGAGTGAAACACGCGCGGCGGGGCGGCGGGGGGACGTGTCGGTCGCAGAGCGGCTGTCGGGCACGTAGGGGCGAAGGTGGCGCGTGGGGAAGGGGAAGCTCCGCGACAGGTCCGAGGAGCGGGGAAAGGGGACGCGGGAGCGTAGGAGGAAACGAGGAGGAGGAGAATGATGAAGCAGCGCTGGGACATGGCAGCTCTGGAGGGCTTTGGTGCAGCTGGTGTTGCTGTGGTGTCTGTGGCAGTAATGAAGCCGCTGCTCTGGCGTCTCCAGTGCAAGGTGGAAGCTGCAGAAAGGCTTCAAGCCCTTAAGGCTCCTTCCCTRAGATGGAACACGGTTCTGGCCTCAGGGACTTCGTGATGTGCCGTTCATGGAGCTCTTGTAGGGCCCACATGTGCATTTGTGCCCTGAGTGGCTCTGAGATTTACAAGCCTTCAATCATTAAGATTACTGCAGTTCCTCATTATCACAGTGTTGTTTTCTTGAGGTGCTCCCTAATGGTGCCAGTGAAGGAAAAACATAAAAAAGTTGCTAAGTCATAGCACTAACACTCAGTGTTTTCCATCATGGAGTTACTGCAAATGATGTGTAAAAGCAGTCAAAACTAGGGGTCTGTCAAGAACCTTACTTTTGACAGTGCCCTACGCAGATGTTTATGGAAGAGGCACACACGGGTGTTGTACTTTGCCTAACCCCATGCCATAAGTGTCCATTCAGCCTCCAGTCACCAACCTGGGAACCTTCTGGAATAGATGTACTRAAGACATCACGTTTCCCACTGGATTTCCCCTCCATTAATTAGCTCTTGCCTCGCACYATTGTCACTAGTGTTCATGGCATCCCATGTTGAGCAGCCCTGTGGGTCAAACACCCACTGAATAAGGAGGTGCCGCCTTTTGCTGTCAACCCACCTCCATGTCCTTGTATTTCATACTTTCTACTTACACTGAAGAGACACTGATCTACTCCACGTGATGCATGAAGGCAATTAGAAAAAACAAGCATGCAGTTAGTGGTGGTATAACTGATTTCTTTTCTGCTCTTGATGATCTGCTGTATAATATTGTGCATTTTCATTGTTCACTTAAGTTTTCAAGTRCTTTTGACCAAATTTGCATCCAGTTTGCACTTGAATGATAATGTTTACATCTGCAGTCGGCTTCATAAACGCGTTGTAGTGGAGGAATTAAGTGAGAGATTTTAAGGCAGGCTGTAATCATGGTGTTTCATCTTTGTTTTGCCCTTYATTTCCCAAAACATTGATATTGTGTCCATCATGATTGATACAGAAATAAACAAACACATTGCAGACTTTGGAGACTGCCATCTTTTTGGTCATGCTATTCACTCCCAAATATAATTTGTTTCCCTTTGCTTTCATATGGTAGGATTTTTGCTTGATTTGCTTGCAGGCAGCTGGGAAAGCTCATTTACAACATGCTCTTGACATAAGTCTGCTGTTTCTGTAAAATTTTCTTCTCAGACAAGGCCTGGCATCATTTCTTCCCTAGAAACCTTCTCTACCATGAAGACTTTGCACTTCAGYGCCAGCATTTTACATTCTGTCATGTCGAAATACTGTCTTTACTCAACTAATTTTTTTGCTAAGAGTGCAGGCTAATCCTAGATCATATATCTGACATGCATTTGCTAGGTCAACCTGTTATTTGTGTCTCTACCTTCTGTGTATTCCTTAGTGGGATTTAAGTTTTGAAAGCCAAGGTTTTCTTCTGGATCCAGAACAATGTTAATTCAGTGTTCAGAGAGAATGATATCTTTAAAAGTGTATTCATCCGGTAGATCTCAAAATTACATTCAAAGTAATGATTGCTTTTTCCTTTAGGATTAAATCTAAAAGCCTTCCTGTTTTTCAGAAATCTCATTTTCTATTCTGGAAAATAACCCATATTGCACTTTRCGAATTAAAAAGTTAGTATCTACTTGTGTGCACTTGTTTCTTTAAGCAACTAGTTTATTTGTTGTCTGTTTTATTAGCTTTGGCAGCAGGTTAAAACCTTGCATATTAACTGGGATTTGGGGGACTTTCTAGGGATATAGCTACAGCTTTCTTGTAATCTTTGAGGTTTCTCCCACTTAATGATGCTTATAAATTCATCTCTTTCTGTTTTATATATATATAWAAAAGATTTTGTGATATTTTGTCTCGTCTGAAAAGATACTGTCATATGGAAGCTACTATGTGAGTATGATTTAATAAACTGACAGGGCATCACATGTAGGACGTCTTCTACCATAAATGTGGAATTTTCATGGTCCCCTGTACAGAAATGAGAACTGCTTCCAGTTTTCATTCTGTGTTTCCTTAGCTCTTTTTAATCATTACAGTTCTAGCTGTGAATAACTTGCTGCCAGTACCCCATTTCCACCTGTCAAAGGTGTTTTTGCTGTCACCAGTAAAATCCTGGCTGTTTTACTGCTCAGAGGAGGGGACAGGAGCAAAACAGACTGAAAGCATCAGATTGCTGGAAGACTGAGGCATCCCTCAGTACGAGGCCTTGTAGTTACTTTAGGTAAACACACTCTGCTGTTTAGAGCTGCCTTGATATGCCAGGTTGATTTTAAGGCATTTTAAAGGACGTAACTACATTTTTTAAATTTGATTTTTGTACAGTATTTTGTAATTTTGCATGTTTTTACAATAACACTTCATAGGTTTTGCTTAATGTTTCAGGGGYAGCACAAAATGGACTATGTTCTTTCCATCATACACCTTCGACATGGGTTTGTAGTTTAGAGCGTGAAGAAACGTTTTTATTTTATCTGCTAATGACTGCTTTCCTCCTGCAGAATGGTTCGGGATTTGTGACTAGCATCACAACAGCCTGCTTATTCCTTGGCCTACTTTTTCTGTTTTTCTGTGAAAAATCTGTCTTCGACTGTTTTTGTTTGTCCCAAAGAAACCTTTGATGCCATTTAGGTATTACTTCCCTCCCTTCTTCACTCCCTCTTATTCATCTTTGCAGCTTTCCTACCAAGTCCATCAGTTTCTTCCTTCTACTTTCTTGCTCTTAGCAGATTAGTTCCAGTCTGCAAATCAGAGAGCTTTGTAGGTCTGGATGATTCTGTTCAGGGGAAAATGTTTCAGAAATTGTTAGAGCCCAGTGTCTATCAGTTAACTGGAGGAATATA